GTATGCAGTGATCGATCTGCAGCAAAATTCTAACGAATTATGAGCTACCCGCCGTTGCGTGGGTTTTGCGCGCGCGGTTACAACAGGTGGGAGTTAATCTCGACCTGTTGCTCTCTGTTAGTCGAGAAATTTGCGACAGAAATGCCAATGTCGTACAGATAAGACATTTATATATATACCTTTATACAGCCGAAATATTTACATACATCGACATACAAAAATTATGAGTTTGCATATTTTTTCCATAATCGTTGGATTATCATTATTTCATTAATCGCAATTAATTGTACAATGACATGTTTGAACGCATTTCGAACATTTACAATTTTATCTTTATTACGCAGGCGTGTTGGAAGTTATCAATTCAAATCAGTCATAGTGCTCCTTGCATTCAGTTGATCGCAATCCGATTAAACGACTTCTCACTTTTCTGGACCCATTGCTTTTTAGTCATTAGATATTCCTGCTATTCCAACGATGCGGCGCGGCATCCGGTTGTTTCCCACCGTTGATTGCGAAGGCGTGAATATAGCGATTACATAGGAGGTACACATACCATATACGCGATTCTTTTAAACACGCGGGAAAAATGGGGCTATTCTTAACGTTTAACAGTTCTCTCTTTTTGCGGCTTACCCACAGGTAAATCAATTCTAATCTGTATTACCATCACGATATACAATCCGTCGGAAATCGCACTGATAAGAGATGAACATGAGACAATTTAACAATAGTCCACTAGTTGCGATAACTTTATGGTAATGAATTCTAATTAAACAGATAAAACGTACACCTATGAGATCACATATAATAGCTTGATAATCTGCTGAGTGCTTTGTATCAGGAATTATGCGACACAATAAATAATATCTCGATGTTTTATTTCCTCTTGAAGTAATAAATGTATTATTCTAAGATGAACTATTCTAATTTATGACCAAGTTTATATGACCGATCATATAAAATATACCGATTTTATAAGTTTTACGTTTATTAAATTGATTTAAGTATGAAAGTCACATTTAACTTTGCAAAGTTATGATAATTTCAAGAAATTCTTTACTGATAGATATTCTTAACATTTTTTTACCAATTGAATATTTGAAATATCTAAAATATCTCTATTATAGGTTTAATATTCAACAAAGTGTAATTTGCATCACGCTCGTCATATAACGTTCAATATCCAGCTTGTTAGAAAGGCACGCGAGATCAGTTGTCATTGTTCTACCGATTGGCACTCGACAATTCACCACGTAGCCCAACTTTCTCTTTCGGCGATAGTATCGATTTAACGCCATTCTTCCTCGGCTCTTCGACGAAAATGTATTTCCGCGCTGTTGATGTAATATCCCTTCTTTTTTAAAGAAGAATCTTTACAATGAATTTTATATTCAGGAACTCGTGATTTGCTTTTGGTTTCCTACTAATCGCTATAAACATTCAACGATATTCAATAATGTAAAAAAATAATAGAATAGATGTCTTTCAGAAATAAACTGCTTATGTAATTATATATATTTTATAATGAGTACCGAGTGTTGCTTGGCGGCAAACAAATCATATAGATTCTATCTTATCGCAAATCATCAACGATAAAAAATAATGTAACAGAGTACTCGAGTGCGATCACATTATCGGATTCTTAAGTTTTACGCGTATCGGAGCATTAAATCGCTTTTCACCTAAGCACATAATTAAGGTCATATTCCATAAGCGCTGTCGTGCGCGCACGTATCGACGAGCATATTCGAGATGTATAAGCGGTTTTGCCGCATGCTGACCGCTCTCTTCTTAATCCAGGACACTGTATATACGGCAACTATAAATAAGATATCTCTTACGAAACAAGAGCCTTGCACATGCAGGCAAAAAACATTCCGAAATCGGGTGAAAGTGCTTGATCAAGAAAACTGCTCTACAGTTCTCCCTATGCAGATTTCTTATCAGAATTTGCGTGCAGTCGAACAATTCCATATATTATAGTCTTGCGAATTAAATGCAAACCCGTATAACTTATATGCTTGCACACGATAGTGTAGAAAATAATTTGTGATCATTCTTTATTCATAAAATTTGATTTTTAATATGAAGAAAGAATCGATCAATTGATATATTGATTATGTGACTGAATTGTTCAAATGTGATTTGTTAATTCTCTCTGTTTGTCCGAGATCTCGAACCGATTAGCACCGTGGACATGAGACTTTAAAGATCTTATTGCCACATACGTATTAAACGTGAACGGTAAAATATGAGGTCAATTTCTAACCACAGGCATGCCTGTCTAACAATACGGTTCTTGCAGAGCGATATATGTATTTTGTCAATCGCACGATATACATAAATGAGGTGCCGTTGCATTCATTACCAGTCGCATTCCGACATTGTCTCGTGAATTGACACCGGTGACCTCGCCTATATAGAAATCGAAACGTGCCGCACTTTAAAAAAGAAAAAGATTCCGCACCGACAATGTTTTATTTAACATATTCGTTCCCTGACATTTTACCTCGCATTTTACGGAATTGAGAGCGAAAGTTTCACTGTTCGACAAAATTTTTCGCGACGTTTCGACCTTGCGATATCCGATTAAAATCGCACTTACCGCCTCGATTCATCCTTTCATTTCAGCTAAAATAAATGCTGATGTTGGTGACGCAAAATTATTATTAGCCTCAGTTAAAATTTTTCAAATAAAATTTATTTTTATGTTGATATTTGTTAATAAAAAGGAATATGATTTTCTATTTTCTGAGATACTTTTTCAAGAGTTTATTTATAATTATAGTTTCTTAGTGCACACACACATAAAGACTATTTTAAGAACTCATAAGATCGTGTTATGGATCCGCTTTCTTTTGTCCCTGCAACTATTTTCTAACGTATGCGGTTTTCGAAAGGATCGTTAAAACACATTGTGGTGTACCTTCTTGCTTGCGATGTATTTTGCAATGAAGGAAGTCTTATGAGAATATTGTATGCTATTGTAACCATTATAAGACATACAGAAGAATAGTTAATGAGCGTATTTCTTAAAGTAACTTCTTGAAATATATTCTATATAATATTTTTGTTGCATTCAACATTTGTTATTGCACTAAAAGATATTTAATAATTTAAAAATTACTAGTTCTTTCTCGTTCTCCAACATGGGATGTAATAAGTAAATTGCACGGTTGATTCATTTCTTAGTAATGAGTCATCTTATGTTTCGAGACTATCAAGATCAGGCTGTCAGCGACTGTTTCTCTAGCGATCTGTAACCTTTGTCGATTCCTGAGAACGGCCTTGTCGATTGCCGAGGGCCTCGATACCACTACGATGACCTTCGATTGTGTAGATTAACTTAATGTATGGCTTGACGCGGTGAATAAAGCCGTACGTGTGCTTCGTCCAGTTGGTTAGTTTCTTTATTCGAGATAATTAAATCCCCCCTATATCTCTAAAAAAAAAAAAATTGCTTTATTTTATTTTTTATAACAAAACTTTATGTTTATATTCAGCCACTAAATTTGAAGCCACAGTGTAAATATGTAGAAATATCGATTGTTTTAAAAAAAAGTTTTGATGGTAAAAAAAAAATTAGGAAGTATATTACAATAATTGTGTTTAAAAAATTGAAATTACATATTATATATGAAATTACAAGTCTATTTAATGAAAAATATGGAGATGTATATTGTAGAAATATATCAGTTGCTAATTAAACTATCTATAATGTACCGTACTCTTGTCATTCGTGATACTTAATATTCAGTTCGTTAAAGAGATTAGCGTGACGTATATTGTCAAATCTGATTAAATCGCAGAAACGTTACGAGTTATTAACTCGTATTAATTTTACCGTAATGCTTCATCACCATTCTAATCTGAAGAATCTTAATGTGTTTCGTAATATTTGTGAGAAAGATTATAAGATGATGATGATACGCACAGCTGCTAGATTACAGCAGACGTATTTGGTTAATGCTCGTTGCACTGAATCATGAAAGCCATATATCTTATTTATCAATGACATATCGAGTATAACGTGACAGGGTTGAGTATGGTTTTAAGAACTAACTAAATATCGTTTAACACTTCGAGACGAACGGGTTCTAATAGATGCAATTTTTAACGTCATTAAGCATCTGCAGCATCTTTCACCTTGGATATTAAACTATTTATATTTCATATGAATAATTTGGTCAAACATTTCTTTTGGTCTGTTATGCGCTAATTAACAACAGGCAAACTTTCAACAGATCTGAAATTTATTTTTATGACAACTAAATAATTTTCTTCTTTTAGAGAAGAATACGCTTCCAGAATACGGAACTTGTAATTAATTCCGGCGGTTAAATACTGAAAACATCTCATTAACGAAAGAGAGATTACGACGAAAAAAGTATTGATAATTTCACCTCGTTACCGTCATATGATTATCTGTATAAAAAAATTAGATGCCTTAGTACATCGATATCATTATTATGAAATATTGACAGTCCATAACTGCGAGATATCATTGTTGTACCGTAATATTATCACCATAATAATATCATTCGTTATTTATCGCTGACGTTTATTTCCCGCAAGTGCAGTGCAATAAAATTTATATGATGAAATTATTCTGGTGAAAGTAAATAATTTATAAGCATATAGGTTCTAAAGAGATTACAAGAAAATTAAGTAGAACACTTCTCGATCGAAATAAGATTCGTAGAAAACAAACTTTTAATATATTTATAGAAGAGCGCACGTTTGCAACACTTGTTGATGTAATCACCGAAAGAGTTGATGACGAAATACGCGCGCTGCACATAATGTCTACTGTATCAGATTGTGATTCATATTACAACGGATCAAGTTTAATACCGATTAAAATTTGAAAATTTGAGAGTTGTACTAAGCGTTTTATTTTTTTTTTTTTTTTAGTTTTTTTCCGCACTGTGTTTGTTATATGCAATCGCATAAACTTGATCAATCGATGTGGAATAACAATTGTTTCCTTGTTACAGATATGGCACAAGCAATGTTTCAAGTGTCAGGGCTGCGGTATGACCCTGAATATGCGGACGTACAAAGGTTTCAACAAACAGCCATATTGCGAGGCGTAAGTATAGGAGCGTTGTTTTGGTATTTCATTTCTTGTTTACGTGATCGTATACTTCTCGTGTTTCTGACGAAATTCGCGTTCCATTTTATTACAGAAAGAAAGTTGACCTGTGAAAACTGCTGTCTGCGAGTCGAACTGTTTGTCGCGGTCTCGTTTTTTTTCTGTCGCATAATAAGCTGCTTGACGCAACCGAGTTAATCGCGGTAATTTAACACTGCGGTGTTGCGAGAGCCGTTGCTTGGAAAAACTCTAATAGAGCGTAAAAAGTGAACAAGATTATTTTTTAGGCGACGTAAATAAACAATATTAAATCTTATAGGACCGTGAGAAATAAAAAGCTATACATACGTAGTACATAAATTCACACGTAATTATACGTAGAAGCATCCAAGATCCAGCTAGATCAAGCTTTGTTTCTTATTGATATTATTTTTTAGTATTTAGCATTCTGCATTATAGTTATAATATTATATCGGCTGTTTTTATGCGTTCTATTTCAAGTCTTATCATTATTGTGGCAATATTTTAATATAAACTGATTTCAATTTTATACCACTCCAGCATATCATATGTCTATCCTTGTTTAGTCAATTCAAGAACATACGAATTATCTTTGTAATTACTGACTTACTTGAGAAGAAACATGCTATTCTCTTCTCGCATTTTGAGCACCACGGACGTCGTCTTCGTGCATCTCCGAGTACGATGCAACGCACGAAATGTTTATTCAAGATCCTTAAACGCGCAATTTTATTTCGCTGCGAGAGTATACGCTTGGCATTCATGGGAAGGGAAATGCAACATCGATGTTAGCGATGCTAATGGCACACGCACGCGCCTCGCGGGCTCCTCGATCCCGCAATGCACGCGTAGCAATAACGCGACGTTTAATATCCGGTGAACAACGGGCTGGAGACTCGCGAGAAGAGCACACGAGAGGAAAATAGCCGCTTGTTCGCTTGTTCACGCGATTGCGAATCTCCGATAGTTAAACGTATACCATTGCAGGCATGTCGACGCAGCGAAAGCGCACGACCGAGCATTCATGCGGCCGAGGGGATAATGCACGGCTGTCGTGCCTCCTCTCCGGACGGAGGATCCTCCTTTCGGGCGCAGCGAGGATTTTTAAACACGCGCGTGTCCTTTTACACGTCGCCGGTAGCGTAACGCGTTTTGCATAAGCTCCGCTTCGCCTGTCCTGCTCACGGTGCTCGCATGAAATTGCCATGCAGAATAAATATCATTTTCTACGCCTAGAGTCAACTGTTCCGTTCCGTAGTGACGTTTCGCGTGTCGGCTCGTCTCGCAAATTAAACGCGCTTTCATCCAAATGAAGAATTAAACTGGAAAGCGACGGTATATGTTACCGTCCACGTTTGAATGCATTACATGACGTTTTCTTCATTTAATTGTTAACGGTGACTATCAGAGTAATATTAAAAATTCTAGGCGATGTGTATTCATGTATTTAAACATTTACTGTAACATATATTCATCTATTAGAAATAAATTCAAACCTACTTTTAAGCAGGAAAACGCATTTTAAATTGAATGTAATGAGTTGATTGAGAGATCATGCTTGACCAATGCAATGTAATAACTGATCGACGAAAACCAGTTCTATCACGGATATTCCTGTTCCACTTAATTTTATAGTTTTGATGTAACGATGTGTAATATAAGCATACATTATATATATATATACTTGATTCTGTTACATATAACAGAAAGATTATACATTAGTTTTTAATTAATATCGAATGATGGACGAATATTCCTCGTGGTTACTTTGCTTCCTCGTAATAAGAAAAATAAGCCGCTCCTTATTTTGAGAAATACGACGAAGCGTTGGACTAATCACTAGGATGTTAATAGCAATGACTAAGAGATTTCGTCTTGCGACAGCAAAGACTTTATTTATTATTTCGATAAGACCGGTGATAATTATAAATTAATTTTCCTATCGCCATCAAAGTGCAGTCTTGAACGAAGCAAGAAAAATCACGATTCGAACGCGTGAAAGTTTTATGAGATAAGATGAAGAAAAAGAAATGTATAAAGAAAACCGTAACGATAACGTTTATCTTAATCAGGATTTCAAGACTCGTGTTAAGTCTAAGACATTTATTATGATTTTAAAATTACATTAGAATCGTCGGGCAACACAAAGAAAGTAACTTGGCGTTGCAGTTAATTTCGTGATCCCGACGGATATTAATTGTACTATTTTTGTATAATAGGAGATCCCGAGAGGAAGCGTGTAGAAGTTTGTAACGTTTTCCTGCGATAATCTCCTAACATCTTTTTTCTTTAATGTTTTTAGTATCGTTCATGGTTCATTAACGAAACGATCGTTTTTGTGTTATACTTATCAATTGAAAATAAAAAATTTTTATCATTCAAACTGTTACAGTAAATTTTAAAATATTAATCAAGTTAGAATATTTGTATATACTACTGATTTATTTAAGATTGCTCTCTCTTTCTCTCTTTACACATTACTCTAACAGTACAGTAGATATATTTTAAGACAAAATTTACAAAAAATTCCAAATATATATTTTTTAGATAATTAATCTTCTTTTGTGATTGTGATAGAGATTAAACTGAAATTATTTTGATTCGCGTTAACGAATCACTTGTATTTAATTCCTTGTGTCACAACTTTGTAATTCAATTTATTGTCGACGACAATCGATCGCACTACGGTTTTCTCTTTGTGCGTCTTCGTCTTCTCATATCGGTATGCCACGTTGCAACAAGAGATATGTCCGTGACTCGTACAGTATTCCGGTTGTGCATCGCGATGACGAAATCTCTGAGTCGCGATTCGAATCTGCATTTCTCTCTTCTTACGTACGGACCTCTCTTCAGCACTTATATGGCATATAATATGCTTCGTAATGACAAGTAATTCGTTCGAGACGCTCCAATCCTTTTCTCGCCGAGAAAGCGTCATCCGATATATTCAAAAGGAGAACACGAATGCGTAGAACCACAAATGGAGAAAAGTATTTGATTGATCACAAAGTTGTCGTAGATGTTGAAGAATCACTAAACAGGATACAACTACTTACAATTTGAAATTAATTTGATAAATTATTGCAAGTTTTATTCAGGAATTTCGAAGCAGAGTTTCTGCTTATTTCTTAACATTCAAATATTACACGTTCACGCTTTACATTAATCATGTATACGCTTTAAAATATGAAATAAAATTTAAACTGTAAAGTAAACACACTGTGACTTATTGCACAAATTACACGTTATGTTATAAATTATTAAATTTCAAGCTATCGGCGTTTATTCGAAAGATACGACTTTTCGATCATTTACTTGGAGCTATTATGTCTTATTTTAAGCATCTCACATAGACGGTCGTTGCATTTTACCGCTTAGAAAGTTGCTTACTTGACGTAAAGCTGCATTCATTATCTGCTCGAGGCATTTGCCTTCGTTGAAATTGATTAAAGAAAATGGGCACAAAGTCAACGACACTATGTGGATAATGTCTCATCGATAGAATTTTGTATTCCGCGTACAGCAAGCGGGGTATGTGTCAGCGATGTGTGTCGAATCAGACACTGTACTGAATAAGTAAAACCGAACACGTGTGAGCTGCGAGATTCATTCATTCGTCTCGTTTCCCCTTTATATCTCTCCCTTATGCCATAATTTTATCTTTCTCACTCATTATCTTGCCCCTATGCGAATCAACCTCAATTCATTCTCAATTTATTTTTACTCTCACATTCTGTGCACTTGTATAGTTATTTAAGCCTCTGCACTAGTTTAAAAGTATTAATAATTGAAATTGAAAACTTATAAAAATGAATTGTACTATACGTACGAAACAGTTTATTTAAAATTTAAGTCAGTATTTATATTTAATATTATAATATAATTTTATAATTTAAATGAAATAATTTTTGTTTACAAGTTCTGAATCACTATTACACTTTTATAGAAAAATTTGTAATTTTTTAAATATTTTTTAAATTATTCTTAAAAAATTCGTGTAATACATCTTCAAATATAATAGTAATTGAACATCGTTTAATAAAGTAAATTTTTATTCTCTGAAACTTTTAGAGTAAATGTCATTTTGAAGAATAATAAATCTCATTTAGCTACTATTTTTCAAGACTGGCTCGATTTTCACTCTTTAAACTGAGATTTTAATTTCACTTCAAAGGATTTAGATAATGTAATCGTGCCGGGTATGTTAAGTTAGCACCCCAACTATAGTATTCAGGAATTTTGATTAGAGTTCCCACTTCCTTTTGACGAGACGAAGAGTTCCCTATAGTTAATAACAAGGGTTCCGCTCAATAAATATTTTTTTTACATTTTTTAAAAATGGGGTGCTAACTTTTTATCGAATTTCGAGATGGAATAGTTCTGAGTAGCTTAGTAGCTTCAATTTGCGATTGCCTGGAGTTCCTGATATGTAAAAAAAATTTTCGAATAATAAAAAAAAAATTAAAAATTTTTGAAGAATTAATTTTTAGATGCAATAGTTCTGATGATAATTCCTACTTCTATTTGACGATACGAAGAGTATGATTTTTAATGACATATGCGCTTAATAATCATTTTTTAATAATTTTTTAAAAAAATTGGGGTGCTAACTTTTTAACAAAATTCAAGGTCGCATAGTTCTGATCAGCTTAACAGAACTATTTTGTGAATACCTAGAGTTCTCGATACATAAAAACATTTTTGAAATATAATAAAGTTTAAAAGAAATAGTGGAAATCTTTGAAAATTTTTTTGAGAGTACCGAGTAGTTCTGAGTAGCGTTTCTTATAATACTCGACGAGTTTTATCGAAAACTGTAAGGTGAAGAAGCGATTGGACCAACGGTTTGCAAGATACAGCGACATTTGTCGGAAGATCAACAATTTTTAGTGTGAGTATATCTCGGAAACCGTTGGTCCAATCGCTTTGAGCTCTGATACTTTTCGACAGAACTCGCCGAGAACTGTCCAGAACTC